GTGGTGGGAGCAGGGACTTTAGTTGTAGTTTCAGCCTTAGATGTAGCTTCAGTAGGAATTTCAGACGTGGGTGCAGACTCTTCATCAGATGGTTTCTCTGCACTTCTTATCTCTTTAGTTGAAGTAGTCTTCTTCTCTTTTGCACTCGCTGAAGTTTGTTTACTTATTGTAGAAGTCTCTTTAGTTTCAATTGTTGTCTCTTTACTGTCTGTAGCAGAGTTAGATGGAACGGTAGGCTTAGGATCTGTTGGTTTTACCGTTGTAATCTTGGGAAGTGTGGTAACCTTACTGCTTTTAGTGGTGGGAATATCAGGCTTTGGGGTGACATTGTCCAGTCCACTTCCAGGTTCATCTACGGCTGGTGGTTCTGGCTTAGGTTTTTTTTCAGGTGCTTTTTTCTTATCTTTTGCTAGAGAGAAAAATATATACATGTTTTATTTTTGAATAGTTTGATTTTTCTCTGATAATGATGTAGAGATCCCATCATCATCATTGATAAATTTTGTGTCTCTGGGCAAATTGCTAACCTCCAGTAATATATTAATATATCTATTGTGAAATGGTTCGGCCTATCTTATTGGGCTATTTTAGGAGTGAATATAAGGGCTTAAGAGCCCTTCCATGGAAGCAAGTAGCAACTTTGAAATCACTTTCATGGTCAAGAACACTGTATTAATGTGCTGGACCCACATTTTCTCCAATTTTCTTATTCCTTATTGCTCAGTGCCCCTTCGTTCCTTCCAGAAATTCAGTTCCAAAATATTGCAAACTCACTGTACCAATTCTCTTTGCTGCTATATCCAAGGATCTGCTCCAGTCACCACCAGTCTCTGTTGAACCCTGTTTCCACATACATGGCTGTTAGCTGCTCTTTTCTCTGCCTGCCTAACTTCTCAGTCCCAGAGGATATTAGGATGCAATGGCAGCAAAAGTACCCTGTTTGATAGGATTCTTTTAGCTAGGTCCCATAGGGGAACTATAGACCCGAAGGGTCACATTACTGAGACACTTCACTATCTTGATTGAAGCTCTTTGTGTGCAATACTCTCTATATGACTCCCAGATTAAATATCTGGTCATTCATGTAGAGATAAAGCTTCAAGGGAAATCACAACCACCCAGGATACAGAGTTCTTCAGTACTCTAGTATCTAAAAATCAGTATTTCCTGGGCAGAGAAAAAATTTAGCATTTCAGGAAATGATAAAATGCAGAACAAAGAATTAATATCTTGGTATTTTAATACTAGTGATTTTTTTTTTAAATTAGTCCAGTGAGGTATATACTGAAATAATAATGCATGGGCATATTTTCAGCTCAGTTGTAATCCCTGTGAACCTACAACTGTGATGAAAAAATGTACAAAATGAAGAAAGGTGTAAAAATATATATAAAATAAAAAACATACTTTCACTGGAAAAAAATATGGTTAGGGAAAGCAAGTTGAATCAAAATTGGCTATGAAGTGACAAATATTGATGCTGGTAGTGGATGTTTAGATTTATTATACTATTCTCTTTGCTTTATAATTGAAATTTTCCATGATGAGTTTTATAATACAAATTTTAAGTACAGTACTAGAGTAAGAAAATACTTGAAAGCACCAAAAAAAGTTTCTCTTTTGCAGGAAATAAGGCTGCTTTGTAGTGTACTACTACTTAGTGTACTAGTCTCTATCTTGAAAACTTAGCCAAATAGAATATACAATATGTTAGAAAAGTTAAAGAAGGATTTGTAAAATATACAAATAGTGCCTTTCTCAGAGAGGCACATAAAAATTTAATGGGTTTACATTACAAAACACTTGATATTTGCTAAGTAAAACAGGTAATCTGGAAAATGAAAGCAAGAAAACCAACAAAATGAAAAGGGAGAGAGAAGGAGAAGAAAGAAAAATGATGGCAAAGAGGCGGGAATTGAAATAGAAACCATAAGTAAGCTCTCTAGCGCCATCCTTCAGCTCAGCAGTTGCTGCAATAGCATCTTCTTATCCTTCGCTTTAAGAAGTCAACTCTTAGCCTCTTGGCTGTAATGGCTATAAGAGATTAGTAGTGCTATCTTTAAAAATATTTTGTATCAATTTAGATACCCTCCCAAATATTGAAAAAATCCTCAAATTGTTCTAGCAACAAGGATTACTTTCAATATTGTTGTTCACATGGCATTGATACAGTCTTTGATCTTTATCAATGCTCAAACCTTGGAGTTTCTTCTGTAATTCTCTATTAGCAGATGAATTTTTGGAAGACTTGATTTTCCGAATAGTTGAAGAGGAAGAGGAAGAGGAGGAAGATTCTTGATTTTCAGAAACAGAATGTTCTATAAATCAAATAAAAAGATTGATCACACCAACTGTGATTTAAAGCTAAAAAGCACTGCCAGTCCAAATATAACAAGAAATGCTATTTACTGATCAGCAACTATGTTCGACTTTGATTTTATCAGCAGTTCGATTGACCTTTTAATTTCCAATTAAAAGCTAGACACCTGAACTTACCACAGATACTAACAATATGACTATACAACTTTCTCATAACTCAAAAAATCCATTATTTTTTTCTGCAAACGAACTAATGGACTTAAAAACCAGTGACATTAGCTGCTTCTGATTATTTTAACCTAACACATGTTGGCTTTGGAAAATGAGGAAAATAAATACCTGAGGATTTATACTTTGAATTCCACTTTGACTTAAAACAAAAAGTGTTATGTGCCTTTCATGAGTCATAAGATGACATCGTTCTGTGAGAGGTTTTATCAAACCTCCTTTTTTCAACGTCTGTCATCTTCCTACCTTCTGTTATCTCCTCTGATTCTACAACTTTCTTAGTCTTCTTCTTGTTTGGTGATTTGGGAGAACGTTTGGAGGTTGATTTGATGGTTTGAGAAGCTTCTGGAGGCGGAGGTGCAGTCTTGGGAGACGGTGGTGATGTGGGTTTATGCACTGAGGCCAAGCGAGACAGGTCAGTTAACATCTTGTTTATACTCAGCAGCAACTCTAACTGTGACAGGCAGAGGTGCATCTGACTCCAAGAGCAGATGCTGGTGAAAAGCAGTGCAGGCATGACCCAGCACAACACAGATAACACCAGTGAATTCTGAGGATATATATCTAGAAAATGTTGGATCTAAAAGTGTTATAAATTGTGACAAAGAGAAAAGACGCCAGAATCAGATGGCCTAATTCCAGTTCTAAGCCCTTAAGTCTCTACCATGGAGACCTTGGGCAATGGACTAACCCTTCCAAGCCTTGTCTTCTCAGCTTGTCTTCTAGATATTTCTGAAGGGATTTGATCACCTTAAATATATTCAGTTTTGCATTATCTTTTGTATTTGTCTTCTGTGTGATGACAAAAATAAATTACTACAAATGAATGACAGAATACACAAGCTCTTAAGAAGAGAAGTAAAATTTCCTGTTTTCATATTCACCAAAACCAAATGATGCCAATTTACCTTGTGTTACTTTTTTAATTTCAAAAGTCCTACATGGCTGTTAATTCACAGAAATGTCATACATTTCCATGCTGCTCTCCTTAACATTTGTCATCCTGCCCCAAATGAACAGCAGTTGTGGTCTGATGTGTTCATTTTTAATCCTTTGTCACCACCCCCCCCTTGGTATCCCTTTCCCATGTTTTGATCCTTACAAAACAGATTAAAAAGGAAGCCAGAGAGCAATTGGGAGGTGCCGGGTGGAGTCTCATGGGAACCCTGCTGCTCACACAAATCGTCCTGGAGCATTGTACACTGACCACCTACCACCCCCTCCTTCGCCCAAAGAAAAATGCCACATACTGAGATTTGAGAAAACTATCAGGTATTAACCGGGGACCTCGAGCAACACAATCCACCTCTTAATTGTTGTTGTGCTTTCTCACCCACACTCATCCAGTGTTCAGAGGCACTGGACTGCTGAGTTTCCTCCACTCTTGAAGTGTTATGATTTTCAGACACATAGATGCCTATCTGTGGCAGAGCTGAAACAGCTGAGTGGTGAGTTACAGACAGTTTGGTGGTTATTTTGAAAAACAAGCAGTGCAGGTCTGGGTGTTTCCTTTATTTTCAGATGGGGCCGAGACTATCTCAATAAACCCTGTAAATGTATCTCTGTAAACCCTTGTGTTCTCCATAAGTCTCAGGAGAGCTGAGCCATCACTAGATATTGTAAAGCTTTGTCTTTACTGACAAGCTCTCTCAATGCGTCATTCTCTCACCATCTTCTCTCCCCACCCATTCGCTGCCCAAAATAAATTCTTTTTTTTTTTTGTCTCAGAGCCAGAATGATGACCAGGGCGATGGATAAATATCTGGCAGGACTGTTGACCCTTCTGAAAGCTGTAGGCACTCTGCAGTCTGAGTTTTTGATTATGAGGGTGTTGTCTCCATGAGTTTTGGAATGCTTTCCAATGAAAACACAGCACAGTTAAGAAATGTTCCTCAACACCCTATTTCTCCACTGCTTGAAAGAAGCAGGAGGTGCAGTCTTGTTTAAATAAAATGATGCTTATTTTCACTTTTACCTCTGCAAGTATTCTTTTTTTTTTTTTTTATAACAAAGTAGGACTTAAGAAAGAACATTTGGGAAAAGGAAAGAATTTATTGTTTAAGTCTATTGAGCAAATAGACATTTGTCTTACACTCTCAGGGCCTGTAATCAGAGGAGATTTCAAGTGGGACTATCCCTTCCTGCTGCTATGTCACACAGGCATCTCGGTGGTGACCACTGAAGGGATTGGAGTGGTGGGGAAAGACGTATCTTTACAGTTAACTTCTTGGTTGGCCAACTTATAATTTAGTGCCTTTAAGCTGACAGATCATTTACTAGTTCAAAGTGTCAATTCTCTCCTTAAACACACACTCAAAGCATCGACACAGAAAGCAGCTTAAAGGGCAGTTGGTTTTGTGAGGTTAGCACTATGAGAGTGAAACAAGTCATCAAATGAGTATGTTACAGCTGACTTTAACCTGCACTGCTCTGCAGCTGCCTGCAAGAAAAAAAGCGTGCATACCCAGCCACTGGCCTCCCTACTCAGCACATCTCTTGAGCTACCAGAACCTGGCCAAGCCAGGGAGTGCTATTAAAAAAAGTTTGCCTTGATGAAGCAAAATCAATATGAAATAGTGCATGTTAGTAACATTAAGACCACAAAAGGACCACATGTCAGATGTTATCAGTCAAGCAAAGTGGGTACAGGGTGAGGTTGTATAGAGAAGCACTGGTTGGTGCTGAGGTACTTACGTTCTTCACAGAATTCCTTGTAATCAGGACAGCACTTGCCAAACTTTGTACATTGTGCATCACAGTCACATTCCCTCCCTCTGACAAAGGACTCGAAGCAGCGGCCTTTGCAGGAAAGCTCTACCCAGAGCAAAACAAAATATTCTGGATTACTAAGTAGGCAACCACATAATAATCATTTCCCACTTTCTAGCTGAGCTCCAAATGTGCATTGCTGTCTTTTTACCTTGTAATTGGAAAGTGGATGTTTCCCCAAGTGGAGACAGCCCAAGTCAAGAGAGAACTATGGTGACTGAGGGAAACTTTGCCCTTCAAGGCTTCAGGAGATGATATGGAGCCTGAATCATTTTCAAGTATGCACAGTGGAAAACTGGAGAATGTCTAAATCATGAATCACCTTTCAATCATCCTCTCCTCATAATATCATTTTATAATAGATTTTTGTTAATTGAATATTTGGACCCTACAATAATATATTCCAAAAATACATTAGTGGGTTACTGTTTAAACCAAAAAATTATTTATAATGCAGAAGATTTTATTATGACACACTGGGCCAAGTATAGAGTTGAGAGATTTCAGCCTGAGCTTCTGGCATGGTCTGTGTGCTGATTTAAAAAACAACAACAAAAACCTTAGTTAAGATCATTGGTGGCCCATGGAAACAGATTTGAAATAATTACCATATACAATAGGTAAGTTATGCAGCAATCTATTCATCAGCTTCTTATGCAAATTCTAAAGTGAATGTAACTTTGAAACCATTTTAATTATGCTATTAATAAATTGAATATGAATTATTGGCCCCAATAAAAGGGCCCAAAATATGTTCAAGTGAAACACTATTCATAATTTAAACTCCTGGCCTTCTGGGATTTAACTGAAACTCATCATTAATCACTAATGTTTGATTTTTAAAGGCCTATTTTGCTACCAGAAGGGAAGGGGGAGAGTGGAGATCAGGTGTGAAGGACCCAAGAGACAATGGAGGACTGGGTACCCCGTGGTGGTTATGGTCCCATAGCCCTGAATCACAGCATTATAAACCGATGTTACCCCAATAAAATAGTTTAATTTAGAAATATGTTAATATCAAAAAGCCAAGTAGTTGACAAGATTATGTTATATCTGGATTCCTTGATGAGACCATTAAAAGTTCCCACCCCAAGCAATTCACCTCTTATTGCTAGTAAATAAACACTCTTTACTTCATTTGCTTAATGACTCCAGAGTCACAGTTTTCCTCTATTTCAAACAAGACATTTTACTGGGCACTAGACCAAGTACAGTTTGCCCAAACCCCCTCCCACCCCCACAGATACAAGCTTTGACACCATCCTCAGATACAGCACACCGCGACATTTATGCAAGTGAAGGTAGAGGCATTTAAGAAAAAAGAAGTGCAAAGTGTGCGGGCAGCATTGCAAGGGACCACGGGGAGGTGCTCACAGGATGCGCTGGTGCCAGAGGAGAAGGCTCCCAGGACTTACCCTCAGTGCAGACTTTCTTGAAGTCGGGACAGCACTCCATGTAGTGTTGACAGTTATAATCACAGTTGCAGATGGCATCTCTAGAATACCCTTCCCCACATCTCCCTGCACAGCTTGATAAATCTAAAAATTACACAATACTAGTGTAAACATGGCCAGACTTATAAAGAAAGGAAGAGATTGAATGAGGACAAAGCCACCTGGTGAGGAAGGATTGTATCCTTGGTAAGTCTGGAGGGGACAGTTAGCAATGGGAGCTCTGATTGGTCTTCATTGTGACCTTGATCTTGCCTCTTCATTCTCATAAACTAAGAATATAAGTACACTTTTGAAAATCAAGCAGAGGGGTGACTTTGCACCCTTTCTGGGGGCAGGGGTAGCAGCTTCTACCACAGCAGCCATGGCCAGTGGCCACTCCCTGAGCATCTCAGTGCTGGACACTGACTTGCACGTCACTCCTAATGCTTGTGAACATGTTTCAAAAGAGTGTTAGTCACCGTTCTTTAGAGACAAGGGAAATGGAAACATGGAAATTTTAACTTCTTGCTCAAGGGCACCCATTTAAGCATTTTATATATATATATATAATGGGTCAATGGTTTTCTACTATTTATTTTTATTGACCTCTTTCCCTCAGATGTCCTGACTTAGTAATAAAGCTATGTGGTCATCTTAAGTAAACAGCCTACCTAGAACTGGAACTTATTTAGCTGATTCTAAAGCCCAGTTCTCCCAGCGAATTAAGTTGTCTCTTTCTTGAGGATAAAGAAAATAAATAAATGAGAAATTAAAAAAATAAATTACTTAAGTAACTGGTGGTGCCAGCACTCACTTTCCTAGGCTTCCTCCTCCTACCAGTGAGTATATAGGTTCTTTAAATTCTGGGGGAGCCAGATGTTTGCAATCTCTGCTACAGTGAGTATACAGCATAGATAAATTGAAATAGCATCTGAGTGTGTGTGTGTGTGTGTGTGTGTGTGTGTGTGTGTGTGTGTACGAACAAACAAAACCAAAGGGATTATTATTATCCTTGGATATAATTTAAAAAATAATTTTGAAAACCTCCCTGAGAGAGAACCACAGCATTGTAACATGTGAATCCATCTCTGGAATAGAAATTGGCAGATGTAATATCTTAAGTCCACAGAGGGACACTGAAAGACACTGAAGAAAAATCTCAAAATAATGAGTCCAGGAAATTTAAAGTCTTAATAGGCAAATAAAACAGCAAATATTAGAACAATTTTCAGACCATTTGCATACATATTTGCACAATACATACAAAAATGCATATATAGTGTATGTATATAAATACATATATTATATATAATGAAAAAGAAAATGGGAAGAGGTTGAGAAGGCAAGGAAAGCAGACAAGACAACATCAATGGACTATTCTTTTACAGGTCACAGATTTCAGAAATAGGAAACCAATTATTACAGGAAAAGTTTATTTTCATAGATTAAACATCTGTCCTATTTTTATTGCTATTAAGTTTACATTATATTTTAAATTCATTTATTGAAAGAAAGTAAAACTACTCTAGTGAACAACCGATTACATAACAGAGGAAAGGAGTTTGGGCAATTTGCCCTGTGTTGTAATATTATTATGAGAGAGCAAAAGGGTCTGGAGAAACCAGAGTAAGCTCACTTCTAATTAAATATTTATATTTGCTGTCATGTGTTTTTCCAGCTTTCTTTTTGATCGAAGTGATTCTGAAACTTTAGCCATTGCAGCAAATTACTGCTTGTGCCCAGGTTAGGAGAATTCTAATGATTTTACTAGAAATGTCTACTTGACAAATATAATCTCACAATGACAAACATACACCTTGATTTTTCTTCCCTCAGATTTGCTTCTCAGAAAAGAAAACAATAATTCAAAGCTTAGTGTGATTGTCACAAATCAAATTTACTAAGGTGGATATGTTCACTGAATTGATCTATAAAAGGTTCCTTAACACTCTGAAAATAAACAACAAAAACTTCATTCAGGACCAGTTCTGTTTCTGGATGGCTGTGATTAGTTAAAGACTATAATGTAAAATGACATTTGTAAAGTCCATACCTGAATGAATAGTTCTTGTGAAAAAGAGAGTACTTTCAAGATTAAATAAATGTCATTTGAAACATTGTAAATGGTCATTATAATATGATATCTGTAACTGCCAGCTTAAGTTTCCTTAAAAACACATTGACAAATATTTTGTGCTATTTAAATATTGTTCTTTTCAGTTGATAGTTCAGATGACAGTGCCTCTCTCACAATATCAGGTAGGAATCTGTGTTTTTAAAAACCTTTGAAAGAACAATAACAATGGTGAGTACAGAAATTATTCTTAGACAAACTGGAAACTTCTTGAAAGATTTCCTAGTACATGAGAAAGTGTGAATACCAAAATACCTCTGAATCAGCAGCATTTTGCTTTACATGATTTTACTCTCATGTGCTGTGGGAAAATCCAACCAACAGACCTTTTTAGAAACCTATTTCTTTTGACTTCATAAAAGTCAGAACTGAATGATGAACTCTAGTGGTTAAATGAAAGTCGTTTTGCTGGTTGAGGTACCTTGAGAAGAAACTTGCTGAATCAAGAGAACAGAAAGCAGCAGCATCAGATGAACGGGAAGCATTTTCCACTCCATGGCTGTTCTCAGGTATCGAGTCTTCTCTGAAAAGAAAATTAAACTCTCAGAAAATTGGTCTTAACCTTGCCCTCTTTACACACAATTTTTGAAATGAGGTCTAATGAAAAACCTATCACATCTTGAAACAAGATTTTTAAAAAGTAATTAGTTTTAATTCTATAATAAACATTTGATCGAGATTTCATCTAATACAGAAGAACCATCAACTAAGTCACCATCTCATATTTGTTATTGACCATTTTAATACTTGTGAATGCCCCCAAACAGGAAAAAAAGACATCTTAAAATTCTATTCAGGCTATAGTATATACTTACTGTGTGAGATTTAAATCAAATTGTGGGTAAAATAAACTAACTTCTGAAAATGTAACAGAAGTTACTCTTCCTCTTTCCCTTAATGCTCAGTATAATTTTATAAGTTTCCAACAGGTATATTGCACAAATGTGATCCTTTCTAAGCCTTTCCAATGCCTGTCCTTATAAATCTTTCTCCAGCACCTTTAATAAAGAATATCCATACTGAGCTGAAAAGAGCTAGTTCTATGAAGCAAATTGACGTTGACACTTACCGGTTAAAGGATAGATGAATTTCTCCAGTGTCCTGGAAGTCTTATATATCAGTGCAAATATATTGGGATGAACCAGTTAGTCCAAAGGTTAGACAAAATCAACAGTGACAACCTATGAAATCAAACTTTCCTCACTTATTGGAAGACAGCCCAGACGACTAGACTTAAGCAACATCTGGAAAACACTTCAATTAAGAAAAATGACTACTACAAAATAAATTTAGATTTATTGGCCAAAACACACTTCTAATTTCTAAGTGAAGTGAACAAATTGTCCTGAGATGATAAATCGCCCTGGCAAGCTTTGACCAGCTAGCATGTTGAAGTAGCAGTCTTAAAATTATCACACACGAGCATCATTTCTTCATTCTTCTCCTTCATTTAAATCTGGCAAAGGGTGATTTTGAAATGGATCAAGAGTGGTTTTGTGGCATTAACTTTTTGAACTTATACTATTAAAGTGAATGTATATTTCTTTTCTTCAGTAGTTTCATTTTCACTGAACACAGAGAATGTGATTTGAATAACCCACACTGAATTTTCTACCTTCCTTTGCATTGTGAAAACCTGCTTCAAACTTGTATTTATAGCTCCCTTAGCCCTTTCTAAAACCTTGTCAGATGAATGAATCCAAACCATTTCCAACAATCTAGTCACCAACGGATGCAGTTTTTAATTTTTTAAAAAAGATTCATTTATTTATTTATGCATATAAAACTGGGGTACAGGCCAGAGGTGTGGGTAAGAGGGTTCACCAGAGACAAAGTGGGAAGCAGAACAGGCAGATTGACAAAGTACACTGCTGAGGGTAGCAGTGAGGCTGGTCAGAAGAGGTCTGCCACACCATGTGGGTCAGCTCTCTGGCCGGGGATTGAACTCATGCTGCAATGGCTTTGGAGAGTTTCATAATGCAGTGCTTTAACCCATTGTGCCACCAGGGAAATCATGGAAATCCTTTTTTTTTTTTTTTAAATACTTGTTACGCTGCCCAACAGACTGAATTTTCTAGAAAAAAACCAACATTTTTATTGTCACTACAACACCAACTTTTAGTTTAGTGCTTCCCCAAGGTGTGTGCTGACCACATTCTTATAGAACCAAGTTGTCATAATGTGGATTTCTCTGTGTATTATGCATTTGATGAGTACTATTTTTAACTATTCCCAAATGCCTTTAACCTAAATATAATCACCCACATTTTACAAATAAGATAGATTTTACACAAAAGATCAATCTGTGATTATCCAAGGAAATATAGGGAATGGAAGTGAATCCTGTGTTCTCAGGTTCTATCATGTTTCTTTTATATCCATTTTCCTTTCTTAATTTTTATTTTGGGGTTAACTTTTTGCTCTTCCATACATGTGTATGTTCTTTCACCCTCCACCAAATTACCTGTATCAGTACCCTGTCTGCTTCCCTCCCCAGCTCCTTCTTTGCTCCTGATTGGTCCCTCTGGTAATCATTAAATTCTTTCACAATGCCCAAGTGAAAAAATTTCTGTTGTGCTTTGCCTGTTTTTTTTTGTTTGTTTGGTTGGTTTTTTTTTTTTTTTTTGGTTTTTGGTTTTTATATTCCATAGATATGTGAAACCCTCCAGTATCTATCTTTCATTTTCTGACTTATTTCACTTAACATTGAGGTGCATCCATTTTGTCCCAAAAGTCACTATTATTTTAAATAGCTGTATAGTATTCCATTGAACATTTGTTTCATAATGTCTTTATCCTTTCATCTATTGAAAGGCACTTAGGTTGATTCCATGACTTTGCAATTATGGCCAGTACATACATCTTTTGTATTAGAGTTTTCATATTTTTCATCAAAGTCCCCACTATTGTACTTAAGTTTTACCCCTAAATGTTGACATATGTGTTTATGAAATTATATCTTTTTATAGAGATGATTACATTATAAAACTCTCTTTTGTTTCTATACTTATTCTGAGCTAATATATAAAATAATAAAGCCGACTTTGAAATTGTCCATTTCACTCTAAATGATCTGTCTGGAACTACTTCACCATCATCAGAGGTATTTCTCTTTAATCAGCTTCTTTTTGTGATCTTTTCACATCAACCGCAGCTGATATAGGAGTTGAAATTTGAACTAAATTAAATTTCCCTATCTTTGAAATTTAGAATTGTGATTTAGAGATTTTAGTCTGTCTATGTAGCTGTACAGCAGTTAAATTCCTCCCATGGTCTAAAGAAGTGGAGAGAGTATTTCAGAATAAAGAGATACAAATAAAAGACACAGTCATGCACAGAGAGGCAGAGAGAAGTTCTAGAACTTTCTAAATCTTGGATATTCTCCAGATGTAGATAACTTACAACACTGTATCTTTATAGCAGATTATCTGCTTTGGGACTGACAATGTGTTCTTATGCATGTTTCTCATGCATGGTAGATACATGTGACATCTTGTTGGCCAGAATTGAATCAAGCGTTCTTAATTATTAGCTTTCCAAGTCAAAAGAGTGTAACTTTTCAAGTCAGATCATCACAGTCTTCTGTTATTATTTTCTTGAAATGTTGAGAATACCGAGAATTTCAGATACAAAGTTATACAGAAACAAGCACTTTTAACACAATTATACAGTGCTTTCTGATTACTGCCTTTTAGAACTATCACTACAGTCATTTTCCTCCTTAGCAGAAACTCATAATGACTTGCCAATGACATTTTTTACTTGATTGAATCTTTGGCTATGTCACACTTATTTTTTTTTTTTTAAGATTTATTTATTTGTGCATACAGAACTGGGGTACAGACCAGAGGCTCAGGGGCAGCGAGAGCCTTTACCAGAGACAGAGTGGGGAACAGAACAGGCAGATCGACGAAGTACACTGCTGAGGGGAGCAGCGGGCGGGTCAGGAGAGGTCTGCCGCGCCATGTGGTCACCTCCGGGGCAAGTAGGAATCAAACTCATGTGGAAGTGGCTTTAGCTTCTCAGTGCTGTGCTTTAACCGGCTGCGCCACCAGGGAGGGCCCTGTCACACTTATTCTTAAAGCCAAGTTACAGGCTTGGAAAACTGGCAAACAAAACAACACATGTACTATTATGGACTATAGTAAGCCATACCCATTAACAAATTCTCACTGTTAGCAAATATGTTTTCACTAAGGAAGCATCACAAAGTATGAAAAAGTGAGAAATTTTCATTAAACATCAAGTTCATGAGATTTAAGCTTTGAAGTACCTGATTTGTTTTATTCTGCTGGGCTTTCTGAGAGAATAAAGTTCACAATAAAACATTAGTACAATTTAATTTTGTCTATTAAATATGTTTTAATAAACTGTACTAAGTACTTCATTCCATGAGTATTGGACCATTTATACTTCCTTGTGATTATTCTATTGGTTGCATGTTTCACTGAGATTTCTTTTCTCACTAAAGATATTTTTTTAATACCCGCTCAAATATCACTTTTATTGGGATAAAAGTTATTGCAGAATTGGTAAGAGGAGTGAAGAGACAGAAGGGACATAACATTGGATTCTCTAATCATCTGCTGGGGTGATTGCACAGTTCACCCTTATGAACATCATTTTCTGGGGTTGGCAACAGTGCAGTGATACACTCGGGGAATATTCAGGTGTGATAAGGGATATTTCCTCTGTGTTGTTATCCTGGATGGGTCTTCCCTCCCTGGTGGCACAGTGGGATAAACACAGCATTATTAAGCTATCTACAGCCTTCCTAGCCAGGAGGTGACCCCCCAAGACGTGGCAGACGTCTCCTGACTGCCCACTGCTCCCCTCAGCCAGCGGTGTATTCAGTACATCTGCCTGTTCTGTTTCCCGCTCTGTCTCTGGCGAATCATCTCACCCCCACACCTCTGGCCTGCACCCCAGTTCTGTATGCATAAAAATAAATCTTTAAAAGTGAATAAATATTTTTTTAAAAAAAGTTATCCCAGGCGTTTGTGCCTTTCCCTGGGGTGCACTCTGTCCCTAATCCTACTGTTAGCTCTCACTTTCTGCTGTGACCAGTGTGTTTGTACCTAGTGGCTTCTCTCCACTTTCCTACATCTGTGATGTGCTTCATTTTTTTTCAACAGCAACCTAGGAAAAAAAACGAAGCATGCCAGGGAAAAACCACAGGTGCAAGCTTGCTCTTTGCTACCCTAGTTTTGCTCGAATTGCCAAAGTAGTGTACTTCAGAGGTAGAGTAACTCCTTTCCTCTCATACAGAATAGGGACCCAGATTTAGAGACTTGCTGGCATTTTAATCTACTAGTAAGGGTTGTGCCTTTTTTCCTGGATGTTGATTTAAAAAACCTGACCAGTAGATGTAAGTATCGCTGCACTTATTTCTGGGAATTGTTGCATCTTATAATTGCTCCTGGTATTTTCTACCCCTTTTTATCTGCCCAACTGGAGATCATGTTTCCCAACTTCCCCTTCAGTTATGTGTGCCACATACTGTTTTTATTCCAATGAA